TTTTTTCTTTTGCCATTATTGCCAGAATTCCTATCTTTATCCCAGTGCTGGTGAAGACAAAGATAAAACCAATCTACAGCTTTTGCAATAGCCATCACTGAACTGCTTTCAGAACTTGCCTGGACTATGTATCACTTGTATGCATTGTGAAGTCACTTGTATGCATTGTGAACTCTCTGTTGGTGCAGCGACTTGTGGTAGTGTTGGGGTATTTTTGCTGATGGTGTCATCGGTGGTATAATTTTTCCAAAAGGAGCCATCACTGAACTGCTTGCAGAACTTGCCTGGACTATGTATCACTTGTATGCATTGTGAACTCTCTGTTGGTGCAGCGACTTGTGGTAGTGTTGGGGTATTTTTGCTGATGGTGTCATCGGTGATACAATTTTTCCAAAAAAAGTTCCCCAATGAGCAGCTCCTTGGTCTGAAAGGGCGGGGAAACAGCCCAATGAACATCACCGCAGAGGAGCCAATCAGTTGGCAGCTAGAAGTTTGCTGGGGCCGCTGTGAGCCAATCATCAGCTGGCAGCTGGAAGTTTGTTGGCAGCTGGAAGTTTGCTGGGGCYCCTTCGGCTGTGGCTCTCAACATTTCTCCACAAACCATCCTGACTGAGAATATATACTTTGAGGGTATATAGTTGAATTGGTTTTTTCTTGTCTTTGGTTTTCTCTTCCTTTTTCCTTTAATGTGATTATAGTATTTATTCAAATTAAGTTCATTTGTTTCATTTCAAAACTGTCATTTTTAAGTTTATTTTTCCTGACATTATTCGTTATTCCATAATTTTTCATATTGTTTAATAGAGTTTGTCAGGATTAGAGTCTGATCAAACTCCTGAGAATCCCATGTTAAATAAATGTCGCTAAATGAGACAGGATTGTTTTATCACAGGTAGTATTATGTTAGAGGTCTATCCCCCCAAATTCGCTGGTCTTGGCATACCCAGACAGAAAAGCCAGACATATTCCATTTTTCTCCTTTGAACATCTTTTCAGGTCAAAGTAGAATGTGATATTAACAAAAATTCTTTTCAGTTATTTGCCAGTCAGTATGCCTGGCACGGTGATCAAAATTATATCTCATATTCCATGGAATAGCAGCATTTCGGGTTCTACTTAGCTAATATAAACTAGTACTTTATACTGATTTTTTTTTTCCTGCTGGCTTCCACTGTTATCGGTTGTAAGATATTTGGATTATCACTCCTGGGAACACACAGTTGTTCAGGATGGAGATGTAGGTCCAGACTTTCTTATAAGAACCACTTATTGGGTAAGTCGTGGTTCTCTTCAATTTCTGGTCTGCTCCTCCCATTTTTTATAGGCTTCTCAAAGTCAACCTGCACAGTCCAAGAAGGAAGCCAATAAGGAGATTGTAAAAGATGTTTTCAAGAATATAAGCAAGAATAGGCGTGTTTACGGATCTGCTAAACACAAGGAGATGAAAAGGTAAGAGGGGACTCAGATGGTATTGTTTCTGATGGTAAAGAAATGTGTGTGACATCCTTTTGTCTTCCCTAAGAACATGTTTAGTGAGCCACAGTGGTGACTAGCACATTTACCCTGAATGCTGAAGAGTTACAGGCCACTTCACTCTCCTCTTTCATGGTGTGTGTGCTTTTGAAAGATCCATTGTTGTTATTGAGAATTTTCCAAAACACCTTAATCTTTTCTCTTTTTTGATAATTCAGTCTCTGTTTGAGCTGGTCTGTGCATGGGAGTGTGGAGGCAACTTAACATTTCAAGGGACTCTCAGCATGTGACTGATAGTTCACCAGTTATCTCATCAGAAGCTTTGCCCCTTGTCACTTAAGAGGAATTACTATCTCCATGGGCCAAATCCATGTGTCCTCCAACTGTTACAGATAACTGTTTACATGCTCGACAAGCAGAGATGAGCATTGTCCATCTAAGATGGGAAAAATAATTTGCTTCTGAGAAAACTTTTCTTTGTGATGCTGGGGATCAAACCCAGGGCCTTATGAATGTGCAAGCACTCCAAAACTGAGCCATATCCCCAGGCCACTCTTACTAGAAAAAGACTTAGAAAGTAGAGAGTGACACCTTTCTGTATTCTCTCTTTATTCTAGTGGGAATTACTTCTTTAGAATTTCTTATTCCAATCTGCATTTGAATAGATTAGGTAAATGACTATGCAGGGCTATGCATAGGTTCCAGTGAGTAGGATATAAAGGTTGAGAGCTGAGTGTGGTGGTGCACAGCTGTAATCTAGAGACTTAAGAGGCTGAGACAGTAGAATCTCAAGTTCAAGGTCAGTCTTAGCACTTAGTGAGGCCCCAAGCAACTTAGCAAGACCCTGCCTCAAAATAAACTATAAAAAGGGCTTGGGGATATGGCTCAACGATAAAGTACACCTATGAGTTCAATCCCTAGTACTCTACAAAAAACAAAAAAGAAAAGGTTAGGAACTCCAGAAAATTAACCTGCTGTGTGCATAGAACTGTTTGCTAATTGCCCAGCAGAAAGAAATCAAACCAGAAAATTAGCATTTATACCTACTTGGTTTCCTGCTGAAATGTAATTCTGAGGTTGGGTTTACATGCGTATTTGACCTGATGCTGGCTCTTAATTGGATATTTGATTTATTTTTAGATAATCTTTGTTGTTGGTTAGGGGTCTAACTTCATTATTTTGCATGGAGATATTTACTTTACCCAGTCTTGAAAAGACTAATCTTTTTCCTCTTGTATTGGCATACTTGTCAAAACAATTCAATATAAATATAAGGGTTTATATCTGGACTCTCAGTTTTATTCCATTGACCTATATGTCTGTCATTACCTATCATTATGCCAGTACCACACTGTCTGGATAACTGTACCTTTGTAGTACATTTTGAAATTGGGAATTGTGAATCCTGTGTTATGGCTTGGATCTGAAATGTACCCCCAGAAGCTTGTGTGTTGAAAGCACATAATTCTCAGTGCAACAAGGTTCAGAGATGGAGCTATTAGGATATGATTAGGGCTCTGATCTTATCACTAGATTAATCCATTGATAGCTGAATGGGTTATTGAATGGTAACTATAGGCAGGTGGGGTGTGGCTGGAGGAACTAGGCTGGGGGTGCATATTTGGACTATATATGTCTTTAGCCCCTTCCTCTCTCTCTCTCTCTCCTCCCAGGCTGCCATAAGCTGAGCAGCTTTCATCTACAATGCCCTTCTTTCATGATGTTCTGCCTCACCTCATACCCAGAGTGATAGAGTCAGCTAACATCGACTGAACTTCTGAAGCTGTGAATCCAAAATAAAACTTTTCCTTCTCCAAGTTGTTCTTGTCAGGTATTTTGGTCACAATGACGAAAAACTGACTAACACATCCTCCAAACCTTTTTCTTTTTAAAGATTGTTTTCACCATTCTGAGTGCCTAGCAATTCCACATAAATTTTAGGTTCAGCCTGTCAAATTCTACAAATAAGTCAGCTAGGATTCTTGTAGAAATTGCCTTATATCTGTAAATCAACTTGACAAATACTGCCATCTTAACTAATCCATGAACATATAATGTCTTTCTATTTATCTAGATCTTTATTCCAACATTTTAAGTAGTTTTCAGAGTGTAAGTTTTACATGTGTTTTATTAAATTTGTTTCTAGCATTATATTATTATTGATATTACCATAATTGGATTTTTCCTTTAATTTCATTTTCAGACAGATCATTACAAGTATGGTGAAGCACAGATTATTGATTAAATTATTTATTCTAATAGTTTTTTTTGTGTGTGTGAGTGTGTGTAGGAGTTCCTTAGGCTTTTCTCTATATAAAATCATTGTCATTTGCTGACACAGACAGTTTTACTTATTCATTTCCAATAGGGATGTCTTTGGGTAGAATTTTGTTGCCTCATTTATTAAAAAAAATTTTGGAGCCAGCTATGGTGGTGCACACCTATAATCCCAATGGTTCAGAAGACTGAGGCAGGAAGATTGCAAGTTCAAAGCCTGCCTCAGCAACTTGGTGAGGCCCTAAGCAACTTAGTGAGATCCTGTATCTAAATAAAAAATAAAAAGGGCTCGGAATGTGGTTCAATGGTTAAGTGCCTCTGGGTTCAATCCTGGGTATTAAAAAAAATGGTACTGGGAATTTAACCCAGGGGTACTTTACCAATGAAGAACATCCCTAACTCTATTTA